GGCTTGCTGTGTAGCTGAGTGGCTGGTCCATGCCTTTCTCTCCTTTTCTTGATCAGCCTTCCTTTTTATCTCTAAGATTTTTCCTCAAATTTATTCTCTCTACCTGCCAGCCCATCTTATTCTTTCCAACCAAGCTATAGATTTTTCGTTAGGCCAAACAGGTATTTTAGACCAGCCCAGTATCACAGCTTCACAGAATTAAGCATAGGCAACATAAAAGAATGCAACACATATTTGCATCATTGAAACAATTGTTTCACAACATAACTAAATATAACACATTTTACAATAAATTTCCACAACAGCAAGGGTTGTATTTTGATACAGACTAGGCTGCATTTTGATACCACAAGATATTGAGATCCCTAAATTATAAGACATCTGCTATGGACAACTAACTGAGTATAGAGAGTGGAAGTAACCAAAGAGAGAGATGTATGAGAAGACGCAGGGATAGGGCCTTCTATGTCCTTTGAAACTGAAGCCCTATGCATCTGAAACAGAGCTACAGGATTTGATGTTTGTCTTGTTATGCCTCAGTCGTGCCTTGGTTCAATCTTCCCTCACTATGTCTGCATTTCTCTATTTTGGAGTGTGAGTGGTATTTTGTACCATTGTATGTTGGAAAGATGTAACTTGTTTTCTAATATTTAGAAGATGTTACTTGCTGTGGAACAATGGTCTTGTACCTTGTAAGGATTTGTCACTTGTATTGGTTTAATAAAATGCTGATTGACCAGTAGCCAGGCAGGAAGGATAGGTGGGGTGACCAGAACAGGAGAATTCTGGGAAGAGGAAAGGCTCAGTCTACAGTTGTTACCTAGACTCAGAGGAAACAAGAGGAGAATATCACACTGATAAAAGGTACCAAGCCATGTGGATAACACAGACAAGAATTATGTACTAATCTAAGATCTAAGAATTACTTAATAAGAAGCCTGAACTAACAGGCCAACCAGTTTATAATTAATGTAGAACTCTGTGTATTTCTTTGGAACCAAATGACCATGGGACTAGGCAGGACAGAAAACTCTGTCAACAAATCACTGTCAAGTAATTGTCTTGAGCATCTGAAGAGATTTTGAACATTTGAACAGCCTAGGGCCTATTGCAGACTATGAGTGTCATTGAAGTGACTAAATTAATTTTCTTCATGGATGAAGAAAACTATGAGCCTATAGTGATCCAGGTTAGAATGTAATTGATTGAATGAAAAACCTCTCAGATAGGAAGATGTGTTTTAACATGTGCCTCTTCTTGGTAACTTTCGTTTGATTGCTTCTGAAACCATTAGTAGGAGGAGCCTTCCTGGATGAAATTTCTCACTGGGATGTGAAATGATATAGTAAATAGGGATGCTTGTTTGTTCCAAGCTGCTCAGCCCCAAAATAATCACACAGAAACTGTATTAATTAAATCATGGCTTGTCCCATTAGTTCTAGCTTCTTATAGGCTAACTCTTACATTTTAACTTAACCCAATTCTATTAATCTGTGTATCACTATGTGGCTGTGGCTTACTGGGTAAAGTTCCCAGCATCTGTCTCTGGTGGGTCTACATAACTTCTCTCTGACTCCACCTTCTTCCTCCCAGCATTCAGTTTGGTTTTTCCCGCCTACCTAAGTTCTGCTCTATAACTCTGCTATTGGCCAAAAGCAGCTTTTTTATTAAACAGTGATAATCACAGCATACAGAGGGGAATCCCACATCACTTTTCCTTTTCCATTTAAATGGAAAGGAAGGTTTTAGTTTTAACCTACTAAAATTACAAATTACAAAACAGGTATCATGCAAGAATTACAGTTACAATTTTATATCTATCTTTTATCATAACTAAAGAAAACTATAAGTATATAATCTTCAACTCCATCAAAGACTCCAGAAGGATATAATATTACCTAAGTACACAGAAAGTATATTGTAAGCACCTTCCAAAACTCTAGAAATGACAGAGACATCTCATTGCCCAGACAGTCACCCAAAGTTCTGTGTTTTTGGGGCATCCAGTCTTCAGCCCACGGACCCATAGTATCCGGAAGACTTTTCCATGAAGCAGGAAATTTGAAGACCTGTTCTGTCTTGCAATGGAAAAGTCCAACAGTTGCTGTCTTCTGTGTTCTGTAGAATGTCTGGCAGACTCTATCATGAATCAGGAACCCCGAAGAATCATCTCACCTTTAGGAAAGCTCATCAGTCATTTTTCTGTGGGTCCTGCATGTCCAGCTCATTAAGCAGTCCCAGCAAGAGCAGTTTCTTGCCCAAATGTCTAACAAAATCCATAAGGAACCTCTTCCATGTTCATCATCCTCTCAGAGTAGACTGGTGCCACCAGGAGCAGATGTGTTTCATTGTCATGAAAAGTCTTAATGTCTTAAAACATTTTAGATGCCATATTCTTAAAGTCTCTGAAAGATTTGAAGAATCCCTATTAGAAATACATCTCTGTACCTCTAGAAAACCTAACCAACATTAGTACAAACTTGAGTATTACTATAATACATGACTCTCTACCTCTATTTTAATTATATATTACATGTTTAAATGAGCTGCACAAATACAATACTTTAATTAAGAGCAGAAATACATATAATACAATTGACCTAAAATTTGTATCAATACTCCAAGATTCATGCCATTGCAAATTTCTATAGCATATTCCCCTTTAAATGTAAAGAAACATTTATGAATTGTATTTGGGAATATGGGTATAGTTCTCTCCAAACTGCTTCCTGCTTTTAATTAGGTGAAGTAATATTGGGGGGCATTCACTGCAACCTTTTGTGTGGTCTTGATTCATCAAGCCACATTAGTCTGGAAGGATTCCACAGGTTCTCGTCCTCTGTGGAAACAAAAGAAAAAGCCCTTTTTCAAAGCAACAAATCCTTAGACCCAAATTCTGAAGACATGATACCTTTAAAGTATATGTGTTGGTTACTTAGCTCCTTTACAGTCAAGAAATTCAAAGAAAAGCACAATAAAATACATAATCCAGACCCTCTGTATATAATCCATCTTTACATGGCTTATTTGTTTTTATTCTATTACATTTTTCTGTTTATTTTATTATCTTTACTCCTTTAATTTATGACTGACTGTACTGTCTTTTTAAAAAGTCTTCATTTGATTTTTTATAAACCATTTACTTGTTTTTATAACCCTGTTTTATTTTTCTTCTTTCTCCCAGGCCTATGTACATTTTTTAAACAGACGGTGTCTCATTTAGAGGTCTTTTATGTATGAATCTGTACTATTGTGTATCTGTAATTTTTTCCTGTTCTGGAGCACTTCTTAAAATGCTAAGCCCTTCTTATGAATTTCAGCTGTGCCTGCTTGCTCAACACAGTCCAACATGGCAGAGGCACATTTGCTGCCTCTGAGAGCCATGTACATTACCCCATTTTCAGGCATACATGGGATCTGAGTTGCCATTAGCAATCTTCTCACAAACCCCATAGCCGGTCTTCCAGAAGGAGTCAGAGTTGGCACTGACAGCACAGCCCAGAAATTCAGCATTTCAAAATGGTGGAGCTTTTTTATGCTACCTCTACATCAGGAAAACATCTCTTAAAGGTGCTGCAGCACATCATCAGTAAGCAAAGCCCATTTGGGGAAATAAATGTGGCTAAACTTCATTTTTTTACTGTTTAGAATTCCTTTCCAAGCTCTCTAAGCTTTTAAATGGACGTTCGTTGGCCACATAGTCACTGGTTTGTTATGGGAAGCCACTCATTAGTTCCCAGCTTCTCAGCCTGAAAATAACCACACAGAAACTGTATTAATAAATCACTGCTTAGCCCATTAGCTCTAGCTTCTTACTGGTTGACACTTACATATTAATTTAATCAATTTCTGTTAATTTGTATATTGCCATGTGACTGTGGCTTATGAGGTGAAGTTCTCAGCATCTGTCTCCAATAGGGCTACATGACTTCTCTCTGACTCCCCCTTCATCCTCCCAGCATTCAGTTTAGTTTTCCCAACCTACCTTGGAGTTGTCCTAAAGCTCTGTTATAGGCCCAAAGCAGTTTCTTTATTAAACAATGATTATCACAGCATCCAGAAGGGAATCCCACAATATGAGTTTCTATAGCCTCAACCCATTTCCTGTTCTTTGTGTCTGCTGTGTTGTGGTTGAAACTAATCAGTCGACTTTCTTCTTTTGCTGTCATAACTTCCCCACCATCATAAACTCTATCACTAAATCATACAAGATTCAGTAGAATTACCTGCTATTTGGTGCTAAGGTGGTTTGGTAGCCTACAGTTTGTATTTTTGTTTGTTTATTTTTGAAGACAAAGTTTGTCGGTGTAGCCCCAGGTGTTCTGAAAGTAGTGCTATATACCAGATTGGCTTCAAACTCAGAGAACCTCTGACTCCCAAGTGCTGGGATTAAAGGTGGGCCAGCATTCCTGGCTTTTTTGTTTCTATATTGTTGTATGATGGTTTTGTTTTTATTCAAGCATATGCTGCTGTAGTGAACTTCACCCATATCTTAAATTTTAAATTTTGCAGAGGGTCTCATTATTTTTCCCAGGATGTCATGTACTCATGACATTAATACTGCCTCTGTCTTTTGAGTCATTGGATTGCAGATGCATAACCTTCTTTCTGCCTGTTTTGTTTGTTTTGAATTTTTATTTTTTAAAAAAAAAGAGTATTTAACCTGTATGCATGGATATACACCATGTGAGAACCTGCTCCTTACATTGATCAAAAACATGGTACTAAAAACCTTGACCTTGGAATAATGGATAGTTATGATCCTCCATGGAAGTCCTTAAGCCCACCTGCATGAAACACCAGGAGGACTCTACTGCTGAGCCATCTTTCCTGCTCTGTGTTCATTACTTGTAATCAGCATATTAATTGCTATTCTTTTCATTTGTCCATTTGTAACTTTTTAAACACACAGTGCCTTTTAGTAAAATCTTATTTATTTTTCAGTTTAAATTGGGGTACTTCAGATTTCATGTAGATGAATAAAGAGTTGAAGTGAATATATAACTTTTGTAGACCTTCAGCAAAAGCCTATGAGTTATTACTAACCTTTATGTTTGATTGGTTTTTATCATGTGAAAGAGGTATTTAACATGTATTTCTGGCTGCCATAGAAGTGATTGTGTGGACTAGGCTCGTATTCAAGTCAGAGACAGATAGACATACATGCCTCTGCCTTCTGAGTCCTTGGATTAGAGGACTCAAAGCATCCAGCTTTTTCATCTTATTTTTCTTTTTTGTAGTTAGAAATTAATCATTCATACAATCTCTCTTATCTGTACTCTGTACTCATGTTCTGTTTATGTATCTTTCATTGTTGGTTAGTAGGCATTTCTCTTGCAAAGTGATATCCTATTCAACGGGTTCAGAAATGACCAAGGTGAACCTCCTATTCAGTTTGCTTCTAAAGTGACTTGGTGATTAAATTGTGATGTCTATGCCGTGGAATAAGTATGGGGAACACCATAATTGTATGACTATACTGTCAAAGAAGTATACATTTACAGTGTTGCAAAATCATACTTTCTTTTGTACACATGTATGGAATTTTAGAATGCAGTGACCTGTGATGACGTGCATGTCGACTTCACTTGGGAAGAATGGACTTTGCTGAATCCTTCCCAGAAGAGTCTCTACAAAGATGTGATGGTGGAGACCTACAGAAACCTCACTGCTATAGGTAGGACTGAATTATCTTTTATGTTTTAAATAAGGGGACAACTGTTCATTGGTTAATAATGCTCTTTTGTAATATGATTGAGAAAGAAGAATGGGTAAAGAGATTAGACATGTTTTTAAGTTTTGCTTCAAATGGTAACTAAATTTTTTACAATTTTTAATATATAACATACATTTTTCTGGCACTGTATTTTAGGATATAATTGGGAAGACCATAATATTGAAGAACATTGTCAAAGTTCTAGAAGACATGAAAGGTAATTTCCATGCATAAGCTGATACAGATGTACCCCTGAAGAATTTGTAATGTATCCTATATGTTTTAAACCAAAACAACAATGTACACAATAAAGTTCATTGGTGCTTATTAAATTATCACAAAATTTCAGATAGGTGAATTGCATTTAAAAGTCATTCTTTTAAGAAAGAAGTCAAGGAAACAATGCCTTAACCTGTATTTCCATTTGATTCATAATACAATGAGCTATTCTGTAAAATTGTCAATGCATTGATTTCATATTCTAAAAGATATACATTTTGAAAAGGTGATGAGTATATCTCTGAAACTCTCTATTACACTAATAGTCCATAGAAAAGGTGGTTTAACCCATATATTTGTGACTGTGTTAAGTTTAGTGAGGGGGCAGTTAGATTCACAACTCAAGGGGCAGCTGTTATAGAGAGGCCTTAATCCAGATACCACAAGTCTATGAGGACAGAAAGTCAAACTGTGACCTCAATGTGGAAGCCTTATATTTGTTATTCTTCCTTTACTAAGTATATCATATGTTACTCTGGATACAAGCCACATGAGCATAGGGATGTAAAAAAATATAAAATACCCCTCTCTCAGAAGAAATAGAAGATATGTAACAGTCTCCATGTTGAGTATACTTGTTGAATTTGATGTACAAGTATACAAGTAATTAGTTTTCTAGCCTCATTGTTAATATATCAACAAGCTTACATTTCAGAAAAGCACCATGAGTACTAGGACTGTGTAAAAACTTCTGTTTGTCTTAGTTCACTTAACAAATGTAGTATCACTCACAGTGTAAGAAACGTTATGAATGCAATAAGAGTGGTAAAGCTCTGATTGTTTTCAGTTCTCTTCAAATACATGAAAATTCTCATACAGAAAAAAAAGATTCTGTAAATGTGAACCATGTAATAAAGGCTGTTTTCAGTTATCCTCAAAGATGAAAAACATGCTTTAATGAATGGGAAAAACAGGATTGTAAATATGGTAATAAAACCTTAACATATAGTTCTTTAAAATAGTACTAAATTTTAAAATTAATTTATACAGATAAAAATATTCAACAGTGTATTAAATGTAGTAATTCTTTTCTTGTACCATTACCATTGTAGGCATGAAAAAAGTCAAACTAGCGAGAAAACTTCTGTATATACTCAATGTGTTAAAGCCTTTGCATGTCATCTTCACAGGCATGAAAAAACATATACTAGATTGAAGCCCTATGAAGAAAATGAGTGTGGTAAAGCTTTTGCACATCACAGTCATCTTGAAATGCACAATAGATCTTACACTGGAGAGAAACCCTATGAATGTAATCAGTGTGGTAAAGCCTTTGCACAGTACGGTCATCTTCAAAATCATGAACGAACCCATACTGGAGAGAAACCCTATAAATGTAATCAATGTGGAAAAGCCTTTTCATGTTCCGGTAGTCTCCTAAAGCATGAAAGAATCCATACTGGAGAGAAACCCTATGAATGTAATCAGTGTGGTAAAGCCTTCGCACACCACAGTAATCTTCAACATCATGAACGAACCCATACTGGAGAGAAACCGTATAAATGTAATCAGTGTGGTAAAGCCTTTATATGGCACAGTTATCTCCAAAAGCATAAAAGAGTCCATACTGGAGAGAAACCCTATAAATGTAATAAATGTGGTAAAGGCTTTCCATGTTCCAGTGCTCTCCAGATTCATGAAAGAGGCCATACTGGAGAGAAACGCTATGAATGTAATCAGTGTGGTAAAGCCTTCACATGGCAGGGTAATCTTCAAACTCATGAAAGAAGCCATACTGGAGAGAAACCTTATGAATGTAATCAGTGTGGTAAAGCCT